TCTATCTATCTATCTATCTATCTATCTATCTATCTATCTATCTATCTTTTTTTCCAATTAAAAGATACATGTAAATATTGATATTTATATATTCAAATGCACATGATGAGTTCATAATAATATTTATAATTTCAATTGAACACCTCCATGTTATCTTGAATTTTTGCCATTTCATTATATGCAAGACTTCAGAGAGTAAGAATTTTGGCTCCATCTTCTCAATATATTCACTTACTTGCTCAGACAAGTCATTTGTTTAATGCCATCAGTCTTCCAATCACTCTGGCCACCCTCTTTGTGCACCACCTCTGCAAACCACTCTGCTTTGTATTTTAAGGTGTCAGACACACCACCTTCACAGCCTACCCTCTCTATCATCACCTTGCTTCCTCTGAAGCTCATGTCCTTTTAAGCAAGTCTCTAGGAGAGAAGATTCAGGAAGATGGGAAGATGTTACAATTGTCCTGTTTTGCTTATGAATAAGAAAACCTTAGCTACTTATTTTATATATTGTATTAAAATCATTAATCATATGGTCTGATTCTCTTGGAGGCATCCTGATAGCATATGCTAGTTATTTAATTGAATGGATAAATTGAAGTGATTTTTAATAACAAGATTGTCCTTTTCCTACACACACTAGCAACTAGAATTCCAGATAGGATACTCTTCCATGGGAATCAAATTAGCTGAAGTAGAAATTTCTAAACTAAGGGTCTCTCCACAAACAACTTACCCTTATCACTCTAAAGTTCAGAGTTGTTGGAGTCTGTAAACAAGTCAAGATGGCGCCTGGCATTTTGCCAGAGGGAGTGGTTTGTGATCCTCGTCACCCCCCAGTTATTTTGCTACAGCTGGACTGCGGCACAGAGTTGACAGAACCATTCATATACTCTGACCTTTCCAACTGGCTTTTCATTTAGTCATGTCCCTGCCCCTGTTAACCTGAGCAGGTAGTTTCAAATTACCAAGCATTTTTTTTTAATTTTTATTTTTTTTCTGTTTAGATAAACATGAAAGTAGAGTGTATTTTGACATATTATACATACATGGAGTATAACTGAGAATCCCATTCTTGTGGTTGTACATGATTTGGAGTTACACTGGTTGTTTATTCATATGTGAACATGGGAAAGTTATGTCTGTTTCATTCTACTGTCTTTCCTATTCTCATCCCCTCTCCTTTTCCTTTACTCCCTTTTGTCTAATCCAATGAAATTCTATTCTTCCCTCCCCACCTCCCCTTCTTGTGTGTTAGCATCCATATATTAGATAGAACATTCGGGATTTGTTTTGGGGGAGATTTGCTTATTTCACTTAGCATGATAGTCTCCAGTTCCATCTATTTACCAGAAAATGCTATAATTTCACTCTTTTTTATAGCTGAGTAATAGTCCATAGTATAGAACATTTTGTTTATTCATTCATCTGTTGAAGGGCACCTAAGTTGGTCCCAGAGCTTAGATATTGTGAATTGAACTGCTATAAAAACATTGATGTGGCTGTCTCACTTTAGAACACTGATTTTAAATCCTTTGGGTATAAAAGGTTCTGAACAAGGAAAATAGACACAAAGGTAGATAAAAGGTGTCAAAACAACTTATATGTACACATATATGTATATTTTTACTAACAATTTTGAACAGTGATTTTGACCATTTAACCACAAATAATAACTCCTGTGAAATGGTAGTTTAGTACTGTTTCTGCCATGGAATTAAAACAGAGTTCAAATCTCAGTATTGCCCTTTAGTAACATTGACTCCTAGGGCAGTTGCTTGATCTTATTTAAATGATATCTGAAATAGAAGAAGGTAATAATAGGGGAACTGTGTTATAAGAACATTGTGAAAATTGAAAGAAGATAGTAAGCACTTGTTAATATCAACTGCATTATCAGCACATGAAGATGAGAACAAACCCAGAGAGCCAGAAGATTTAAATGATCAATGAGAACTGGTCATATGATCATTGTTTTAATATGTATTACATAATTAGTTCTTACACTTGGGTATACTTACAAATAGCCTGAACTGCTTATTAAAACTACAGATGCCCTGAAATCACCCCAAGAGATTCTAATTCAACATCTGGGAAGACTGTCTGAGAATCTGCATTGTCAATGAACATTCTAATGGATTCTAGACTGTTGTGCATCATCTTTAAGAAGCCCTAGTGGTTTTAATAAAAGCATTTAGCTTAGGTTCCCCAAGTGTCATGTATATAACACAAGATGAGAAGTTCATAAGAGACAAATCAAATTAAACTTTGGATAAATGCGCTCATGGAACAATAAAGCATTTTATCAAGAAGTACAATGTTCAGATATCTAATGATTCATTATTTTCCTTCTTCCAATTTAGGATTTCTGAGCAGGGACGAACAATTATCTTCTCCTTTCATGAGCTTCAAAATTCCGTCTTCAATCTGTTTGACAGCCTCACCATATTGGCTTTAGGAAAGCTAATGTTCCATGGTCCCACAGAGAAGGCTTTGACATACTTTGAATCAGCAGGTGTGTTTGACTTTATCAGGCACTAGATCCTTCATTCATAGACTCCTTGGGGAGAAGAGAGGGGTCAACAGGAGTGCTGCTTCATCTCTGCATAGACTTAACCTTTTTGGTCAGTTTGGTGTCAGGAGTTTTCTTCATTTTTCAGTGCTTGCTTGTTGTTTAAGTCTCTTTCCTTATCCTCTCCTATTTGAGTTTGCATTTGTTTGTGTGTAAGTGTTTCTCATGGGCCTGTATATATTTTACTTCCTACTTATGGTAATGTTTCCCTGAGAGTTCAATAATTAACTGGTTTGACTCACAGCCAGTTATTCAGTTGAACATTTTTGGAAAGGCCCAGTGTCATTCATTTTCTTCTAGACAATGTAACAGATAGTGATCTTGTTCTACTTTTATAAGGGCTCATGGAGATGCAACTTTATTTTCTAATAACATTAAATTGGCTTGAGTGGGTGTGAGTTATTATTAGCCACTGGAATGGCTTGTTCTAAGTCTGACCTGTGTGGACAAACATTTCTGGACTCCCAAGTTCTATTTCAGATTAAGTTGTGTGATCTTTTTAATGGTGCATGCAATCTGCTTCATTTTAGAGACATTTGGAAATTATAGATATTTTTTCATGACCCCAAATTGTGTTCTTAAATATTCATTAGCTATCTTAATTTTTAAAATTTATTCTCAGCCATTTAAAATTAAACATGTATGTGTTTAAAAAGCCCAGAGTAGGGGCTGGGGATGTGGCTCAAGCGGTAGCGCGCTCGCCTGGCATGCGTGCGGCCTGGGTTCGATCCTCAGCACCACATACAAACAAAGATGTTGTGTCTGCCGAGAACTAAAAAAATAAATATTAAAAAAATTCTCTCTCTCTCTCTCTCTCTCTCTCTCTCTCTCTCTCTCTCTCTCTCTCTCTCTCTCTCTC